AAATAAAATAAAAAAATAATTGAAATAATTGAAATAATAAAAATAAATAAATAAAATAACAAGTAATTAAAATAATAAAAATAAATAAATATGATAAAAAATATTAAAATAATAAAAATAAATAAATATGATAAAAAATACATAATTGAAATAATTGAAATAATAAAAATAAATAAATATAATAAAAAATAATTCTTGAAATAATTGAAATAATAAACATATATAAATATATTTTAGCTTTTATTATTAAATAAAAGTAATCAAGTATATTTATCTTATATTTATACAGTATATTATTTATATAATAAACTCTTGTATTATATTTTTATTGTATATTTTTTTTAGTTTTGCCTGTAATTATATAACCTATAGATAAAGATTAATCAAATCCAATAAACTTTTTTATTTAACAAGACAAAAATAATATTAGTGCTGATATAAACTATTAAATTAAACTGTATAAAGTGGATATACTTAGTTGCTAGATAACATGCTATGATTAGATCTGTATACAAGTAAACTTGTTTTTATTATTATGCTATACATTATAATAATAAATATAAAATATAAAAACATTAAAATATTTAATGAAAAAGGCACTATTATAGGTAACATGAAAGAGAATTAGCAATGTAAATCAACGTGATGAGATAATAAAACCGGAAATTTGAAAATATTAGTGACAAAATAAAATAAATATTGGATTTTGTATGAAATGACAAAATAAAGTTAATTGATTTTATAGAATATATAGTATTTATTTGATATATATTTATCTATTTAACTTTATCTATAGAGCTTATATAATCTATAGCATTGATTCATCCATATTTAAAAATATATATATTAGTAATGTAAATTCTATCTTAATAAAAGTCAAGTTAGATAAAAAGCTAATAATATTTGAGTTTATATATTAATAAACTGCTTATTAAGAAACTGCAGATTAGTTTGTTATAATACATTTGTAACTGAAGTGTTTTAAAAACTTTCACAAAACCAATTAATGATGTAATTTCGTTTTGACCTTCATAGCTTCTCACAAAACTTTTGAAGTTGAGAAGAAACCTTTTGTTCTTTTGTAGGTTTTTTTTTTTGCTTTTGGAGTAGATTTCGTAGGCTGCATATTACTAAAAATAAGAAAACACAAACCTTGTTTCGTTAGAAGCATATTGCTTCCAATGATCCAACGTTAATTTCGTCATTTGTTGTGTCTATAGTGGCTCGCAAAAGTATTGCACCATTTGAATTTTTTTTTAAAAGTTAATTATTTTGTTAATTATTGCTGATAGCATGAACAAATCCTATATATATATTGAAGTTCTTCAGACAAGGTTTATTTTTATATTAGTATTAATCACTCTAATTTGGATTTTTTAGTTTATAGACTTATTTATTTAAAACCGTTAAACCGTTAGAATAGTACAAATAGTAATGAATATAGCATTTATTCTAATAATTTCTAAATATGCGTGTATAATCTAAAAGCTATAATAAGTATTTTGTTCTCTATTATATTACCATCTTGTGTACCCGCCTTTAGCTTTTATAATATCTTCTATTCGACTAGGCATTGATTCAATTAATTTAGAATATACTTCAATTTCGATATCATTCCAAATATACTGGATTTTTTCCCATAGGTCTTTTTTGCTCCGAACTTGTTCAGGTAGATGACGAAGACGTCGGTCAATCTCATTCCACATATGTTCGATAGAATTAAGATCAGAAGACTGTGGGGACCAATAAAGAACTGTAATATTATTATCTTCAAGCCATTTCTTGGTAAGTTTTGCAGTATGTTTGGGGTCATTATCATGTTGAAAAATAATATCTTGAGTACCCAAATCATACTGGTTTAAGGTTTCAATAAATTCATTTGTAAGTATTTTTCTATATCCTTCACCATTCAATTTTCCTTCAATAAGACAAAGGTTGCCAACACCACGTGACATAAAACAACCCATATCATGATACCTCCACCTCCAAATTTTACTGTTGGTTGTACATGTTAACTTTTTAGTGATTCCTTTGGATTCTTCCAACAGTACTTACGTCCATCTGATCCAAAAATAAGAAATTTACTCTCATCAGAAAAAATCACATTTCCCCAATCATTAACGGTTAAATTGCGATATTTCTTGGCAAAAGCAAGTCGACGTTTTTTGTGCTCATTTTTAAGGTATGGTTTTTTCGTTTAATTCTTGCTTCCAAACCATTTCGTCGTAATGCTCTGCGAATAGTATCAGCATGAATATTGATACCCTTATTGATATTTAAATTTTTTTGAACATCTACAGCCGTTACACATTCTTGGGTAGTTATAAGACGGACGATACTTCGTTCATCACGTTTAGTTAAAATTTGGCAGTGTCCAGATTTGGATCGGTTTATGAAACTACCTGTTTCATTCTTAAGTTTTCTTGTATGTACTACTGTGGAGTGTGCAACCCCTTCCATAAAAGCGACTTTTCGGGTAGAATATCCTTCATCAAGAAGTGTATATATTCTTGCCTGTTTTTCTATAGACAAATTAGGCATAATCAATGGTTTTTTTATTTAATCGGAGGTGAACGTATCTGAAAAAGAATTTTAACTTGAACTTGCGATTTTTATTTCTGTCCTTTTATTAATTTTATTTGAACAAACGTATCATGCTATAAAACAGCATAAGAAATGCACCACCTTTAATTGACTCATTGTTGATTTTTCACACAAGTTAGAATATATTGGCGTTCTGATACTATTCAATAAATTTACGCTTATATTGATGATTTTAATTGATGTAATTTATTCGTGCTACCAGTGATGATCAACGAGATATCCGAATTTTAAAAAAAATTTTCAAGTGGTGCAATACTTTTGCGAGCCACTGTATATCGATTGACATAAATGTATGATATTTTAAACAATTATAGTGAAACGTGACCATCGTTTTACCTTCAAATACAGTATAAATTGTGTAACTTAGTAACTTATTTTGAATGCATGCATACTTAATATAACCAATCGGAATAATTCTAAAGGAACAGTTGTAAATACGTATGTACCCCATATTCAGACTCTTTGTTTTTGGTAACTTTTCGATATTATTATTGAAGTCTTGATATTTAGTTGGTATGGTTAATCGGAGCGGTTATAAATTCGCAATGTTACTTATCTCACCGTCAAACTCATTATTCTCAAACATTGTTCTGTGTTCATCATGTATTTCGTAAATTTTGGGACTTTTTTTGGTTCAAGCCAACATTTTTTATATAAAATCGACGTATTTTTGAGGAGTACTGGATATAGGCTTTTCGCGAAGATTATTGTCTATGATCTCTCCTATTATTTATCTGAATTTCATGTTAGATAATGGATAGTCTCGCTTAAAATTTCCCACATTATAACGCCAAAACTATAGATGTCGGATTGAGTAGTGCAATTCATCTTTGAATCTTTCAAAATAGCTGGATCAGTAACACTATTGATTCATCAAGCAAATTGTAACCTGAAGAAGATTCCGTTGCAATTATAAAAATTCTAGGGTCCATATAAGTGCTTTAGCAGCATTACTGTTCTCAACGAACACAACCTTTATGCTCTATGGTAATTATCAATTATAGCTTTTGATTAAGGAGACAAGGTGAATAACGAAGAATTTCTAAAGACGACTCACCAAATTTCGATGTACTATTTTTATTTCATCGTGTAAAATTTTGTGCCACTATATATATCCTTCGAAATTCTGATTTTTTCATCCTACTTTAAAATTTTTCCGATAAATATTTACGGAGGCTTTCTCGAAATATTCAAAGACAAAATTAACCAAACTTGATTACGGAGAAACAAGCGACCGATGGCGCATATATCCTCGGCTACCAAGAAATCTTATGATATTGGGTCTGATTCTTTTTTAAATCAATGATCTGTGCAAAACTTATTTTAGATTCTTATTTTATCCCAATGACCTTCCAGAGATGCATTTATCTTGTAATAAGCAGGCTAGTATTTGGCTTACTGTGTGCATTATAATTAAAAGATGATTGTCTCTTTCTCCATTTTAATTATACAGTATATACACTATATAATTAATAAAGATATAACGTTTTCCTATTCAAAAAAAAAATTATTAAATAAAACTTATTTCAAATATCTAAGTTATTTATAGGCATAACATAACTTGCTCGATACTTCATGCATCTAGAAATATGCTTGAAAGCAAAGGAAACCGATATTCATGCATTACAATGCATTGGCTGGCAATAGACTTGTAGATTTTGTTATAATTTTACGTCTTATATAAATAAACAAATATATATTGATTCATGTAATATTTTTTTAGAAATAAATAAACTAGGTAACGAAACCGTTGTAATGTCACGCGTCTGGACAAACATACCTTGCACCAGACTATGTTTAATCGTCGGACAAATAAACAGTTTCAAAACATATATTCCACTAAAAATCCTCTTTATTTATAAAAGACTTCCGTTTATTAAAATAATCAATAAATTTATCCATACCTAACTTTTACAGTGATTTCGATATAAGTAAGAAATAGAAATACGTATGTCTGTCAGCTGATCAGAAAGGAGAAACGAGAATACAGTATACGCACGCTTGTTAAAAAATTTTTTTAACCTAACCTAATACCTTAAAATGTAATTTTTAAAACTTTATATCAAATAAATAATAAGTTTAAAATATAGATTGCATAAATAAAAATAAAGAGTTTGGATTTTTAAATAATTGTTTAAGTGTGAGCATCAAATAATTTGTTTTTATCCTTTAAAATATTCTAGATTAAATCTTAAAAAAATCACGGCGATAAATAATGATTATTAGAAACAATCAAAAGACGCAGAAAGTTTTTAAATTAAAAAATGCAATAATCTAGAAATTTTTAGTCATAATAAATATATGCTTAATAGGGTGGTTCTTGGTTTCATTATTCCAATAAGGTGTCTCATAAGATTCTAATTTAAATAAGATTCTTTAAAGAACAAAAAATCATTTTAATTACCAGAAAAAGAGTTATTGTTAAAAGAGAGTAACGGGTTGTTAAAATTAATAGATGTAGTATTTTGAGAAGCATCGATTGATGTCACGATGTTATATGCGTTAGAAGAAGCAATTCCTTGAGAATTATTAAATTTATAGAATTCAGGTGGAGACTGTTCGTAGGAACTATTTTCTAAATCATTGGCTAATGCGTGATGGTTACTATAGAAATTAGGTTGAGAAGATGAGAAGTTATCTAAATTATTAGAAAAAGGATCATTATAAAAAGAAGGTAACATATTATTAGAATCATATTGAAAAAGATAAGTGGAATGCATAATGTTATAATTATCGTTAACATATGTTTGAGAAGGGATGGTTCCTTGAGAAATATTAATATGACAAAACTCCGGTGAGTATAGTTCTCCATGAGAATTAGAAATGGAGTAGAGAGGAACAGTATTAAAGTTATGAAGTTGGAATGTTCCAAGTTGATCTGCATGCAATGAACTGTCAATTGATTTAGGTTTTGGTCCGCGCTTTCTACCTGGGGTAAAATCACAGACCAGATCGTGCTTTTCACAGTTCGTGCATGTTTTCTCTCCAGGATTCTTTTCGCATCTTTTTCGATTCTTTTGGCAGCCTCTACATGCTGAAGTCGCGTTGGTACGCGGTCTTCTACTTGTGCGGGGCATCTTTTAAGATATCTTCGTGTAAAAGATATTACTGTAGCACGATAATAGTAAATGCGATATAATACGTATATCGTTTCAATTTGTTGGGAAAAAAGGTGTTCTTGTAAGTTTTATAATTTTTTAGACAGGAGGTTTTGAGTTTGAAGGAATTATGTCTGAGATCATGGGTTTATATCAGAAATTGGTTCTTATTTTTCCCAACGTTAAATACTGTAAATATATTATTGATCTTCGATTAAATAGGTGCCTATGTTAACTAATCGATTAGTCGATTAGTCGATTGATTTTCATGGTACAGTACGTATATTACAGTATTGATCTTCGATTAAATGAGTGCCTATATCAACTAATCGACTAATCGATTAGTCGATTGATTTTAGGGTATTTTCCAAAAAGAGACGTTTACAAATAACAAACATAACATTGTAACACTCGCCAAAAAAGGAGTTCACAACATCTAAAAGCAGTATTAATTATCGATTAAAAAGTTAATGCTAGAAAATCGACTAATCGACTAATCGATTGATTTTTCAGTACTTGCCAAAAAGGGATATTCAAAAATAACAACACAAACATCACACATACAGTATATTAAATAAAAAGTTACAAAATAATAAACACATGACGCTCGCCAAAGTACAATTATAATAAAGAAACTGTCGCAGTTTACACTAAGTTAGATACTGTCTCTTGTGCTTTAATATTTTAACGTAAATAAATATAATCAGGCAATATATTACAATCAAATAATTAATAATTTTATTAATGTAGAACTTTAAAAAATATACTTTAAAATTATAAATTTTTTTAATAATTGATGTTCTGTTTCGGCTCAGTTGGTCTTGTATTATAAAAAATACAAATATAATGTTTTATATAAATTAAATAATTATTTATTAAACTATATTAAAAAATATCAATAATAGAAGATAATGCAGTGGCATACCAATGAATCGTGAATAATTTTTAAAAAACTTGTATTAAATTAAATAAATAAGACAAAATTTAAAAATAAATTTATCAAATTTATATCTTTAAATAAAATAAAAGAATTATAAATTTTTATGCTGTTATTATTGAAATAATTAAATTTAAATTTTTAGTTCACAACCTTTTTATTATTTTTATTATAACAAAATAAATAGTTTAAATTAAAATTTTTAAAATTTAACAATACTTCTTGTTGTGCTGGTCATTATAATGGTTGGTAGTGTTACAAATCATTAGTTGAAAAGTTCAAAATTAACCAATCAGAATTTATAATTTTTAGTTGCAACTAGTTGATTATATTTAAAACAACTAATTAATTAGAAATTTTTTTATCAACTAAGATTACTAGTGATCAGGTTAACTGTTGTAATGGTTGTATCTTCCTTTTCTCTTCCTATACAAGTTTATAGCTACTATTCGTCATCTCTTTCATATATATCAGATGCCTTCTCCTGTTATTTCTTCAGCTTTTACTTCTATTCCTGATTCTATTGAAGCCCTGCTTCTGCTCCTGTTGAATCCCATGCTCTCTTTTTCTATGACCAGTATGTCACTTTAGAATATAAATTGAATACTTAGCAAAGAACTTTGGATAGTATAAATAAATCTAATAGAAATATTAGATGTCAATTGGCTGGATTAAGTCTTTATAGAAAAAATAGACCTCTGGAAAGAAATATTTATCGGTTGATTCAGGAGTATAGATATTTGACAAAGTTAATACAAGGATATAGGATAGTATTAAGAAATGAACATTACACTAATAGATGTCATAGAAGTATATAGATTTTAAATGTTTTGATAAATTGTAAAAGGTATAAAATTATATAAAAAATTATAAAATAAAAATAAATAAAAATGTTTAAGTATAAAGTAAATTAAAAAAATAATATTAATCATTTTAATAATTTTATAAAATACTATAGTCTCAAACATTATTCTGCTACAATTTTGTACTTCATAACTGGACCAGCCTTTAACCAGCCTTTAACCAGCATATACTATAGATTTCTAAGAATCAATATTATTTATCACTATATAATGGCTTTATGAAATTACTCAAGCAAATAATAATATTTTCTCAAGTCTTAAAAAATAAAGAAATAAAATAATATGTACATTACTAATGCTAATAGAGTATAAGGGTTAATTAAAGAAATAATAAAAAAATTATTAAGAAATTATAAAAGAGTAAGAGTAATTAAAAGAATAAAGATAATTATTAATTTCGTTTGTCCTTGTTTTTGTAGAATCTTGATAGTACAATACAGTTTAATTATAATGAGGCAAGAGGGATACATAATAGAGTGCAATTTTTGTATTGGGACAAGATTAAAACATGTAAGGTACATGTATGCTAGTGAATTTATAGCAATGTTAAGTATATGCTAATCATGTATTTTATAGGTCTTGATGTGGCATTATTGATTGATTCGTCAGCAATAAGCTTTTCTGTAAGCACATTTTTTTTTCTTGTCATTACCTTTCGTCAGTTGATGATCTTGGTATCTTGTCCATTCATTATTATTATAGTGTGGTGTTCGTAATTTCTTAAGAGGTGGGCATGCAATTATGATTGCGATTATGATCACATATTCTATTTCTATAATTTTTTTACTTTTGTGATCAAAAACTCATTCTTATCTTCTACATCTTCTGTAAATCTCTAAGTGACCTCTACCATTTCAGATATTGACTTTTAAACAGGTTTGATCAGATTTGTGAATAAAATTATCAAGTGAGTACTAACTTCTCTTTTTCCTTTCTATATGTCACAATTACTTCCTCAGCAATCTTGAACATGAGAAGTTCTGTTCTTGCTTACACTCTTCCAACTTACTGTCTTTTACTGATAGCAAAAGAGTATTTCATTCTTTTGTCTAATACTTATTGTAATTTCTTTGGGGTCAATCAGTGGATAGTAAGTATCAATTGGGATATACAATCATGATCATGATCATAATCACAATTGTGATAGCATTCCAGTTAGTATTACAAATCATTAATTGAAAAGTTCAAAATTAACCAATCAAAATTTATAATTTTTAGTTGCAACTAGTTAATTATATTTAAAACAACTAATTGATTAGAAATTTTTTACCAACTAAGATCACTAATTCCAACATTGTTACTTTTTGAGGCCATATATTCTCATCTTGAATATATATGCATACATATATATTCTAGGCATGTATTATTGGTTGTCAACTTTATAAAATAATTTAAACTCTTTTTTTTTTTTTTTTAGCGATCATGATTACAATTATGACAGCAAATTTTCAGGGTTATTATCTTTCGTCAGTTTTAATAAGTTGTAGCATTTTCTTCTTTTTATAGCATTT